GTGTTACCCGCATCCCCATCTGGAAACTCTCATCCAGAGGATGTCAATGACTAGAGGAAAGGGAAGCTGTGAGGTGATAAACATTATGGGAATAGACAATGAGAAAAGGGTTATCACCAACAAAAGAAGAAACTAAATGGATGGGGTGTATAATCCAACTGGGCATAAGGGAAGGAAAAAGTTACTAGAGGAATAGGAATCACATAACAAGACATTGCCAAATGCCCTAAAAAGGGACAGTATGAGTGAAATAATAATGATAGACCTTCAGAACAATGGAGATGATCTGGGTCAGAATGACCATACAGGAAAGAAAGGGAAGGAAGATTGAATGGAGAAAACATCCAATGACCCTCCCAAGCCACCCAAATTTTGGGTCAATTAGGGAAGATGAGCTTGTCCCTGTGGTAAACAGTGTGGGAGGAAGCAAAGACAAAAGTGAGTAATGGCTTCCACAAGGGAGAATGGGAAGAAATATGTCTGAAGCTTATAAGAGGAGGTTAAACCTCAAAAGACACAGAGCATCCTCAGCCAGAACTGAGATTGGATACCAAATGGGTGTAATGGAGGTAAAGAGGGCAATGTTGATATGATGCTCATAGTGAGAGCAAATCCAATGAAAACATCATAGGATGGAGAAACCACTCTGTTGAAACTGTCCAGGCACAGGCAAGATATTTCACCCACTGTCAGGGCTTGAGCTTTTGAGACATGATAGACCAACAACTAAGCATGGTGGTCATTGGCCCAAAAAAGAAATTCAGAGCCAGGAAAACAAAGATGTTAGGAGGGAGTGTTACTCTCTCAGGAGATGGAAAAATAACAGAGGATATGTTTGAATGACCTAAGACAAGAAGATGAGACAGACAAGACAGAAAATGATGGCAAGCTTACAGAGTAACCACCAGCTCATGGATGTAAAGAAAGAGAAATCTCACCCCTGGAAACCAGATGCTGGAAGATGTATCAAGTGTCCACAACTGCATCTATCGAAACAGAGGCATTGGAAAAGTGTGGTTGTATGATTGGTTATCATCATGCACAAAAGCAACACAAAGTGCCACCTGTACTACCCTCACCATGGATATGCAAAACCACATATGTAAGTGGAAGGAGCCCATAGACTGATTTCTAAGCACTGAAGGGTTGCAATCTGACACAAGTAAGAGTAAGGTGGGGAAAGAGGGACATCTAAGGTTATGTGAGATTGAGTGAGACACCATGACTGCAAAATTCGAAAAGACAGTTTATCTTTGGAGATTTCTGCATTGACAGGAGAGAAACATTGAAGAGGACTCATGCAGGGAATGAAGGAGACGTAAGAGCCCTGGTATCAAAAGTTCCATGTCACAAAGACAAAGAAGTCATCTGGGCTTGTCTTGCACATGAAGTAAGAGAGATCCCACGTGAATAAGATACAGGATGGAAAAGATTGAAACTGAATTGGAGAATAAAACTAGCCACACCAAATGAGACTACTCCCTTAGGAAAAGGGAGGTCACAACAGAGGAACTACACTGGAAGAAGCAAGTGGAAGCCAAATGTTCATAAAGTAGTGGTACTATAGGCCTCAAAAATGTAACCTCTAAGTAAAAACCCACCTGACTCAATGAAAAACACGAGGCCATAGCCAATTTAAAGTTAAAGGACTGAGAATCATATATTTGACCATTTCAGACAAACTGAAAGGAGTAAAAAGCATTAAGATAAATCAAAATGCAGGGAAAGTGTCCGAGACCCCAAAACAGGTCATCCACTACTGGGAAGAGTATTCACCCAAGAGTGAGGAAACTGCCCACTGGGCCAAGTGGGACTGACCAATATTTGGCTGACAACCTCCCATCTTGGTAGGAATTATAAAATAATGGGAGTAAAAGCCAGAGTGGAGCTGAAAAATTGTCCCATGGTATTTGAAACATGTAAGGTAGAAAGTATAAGGACAGGAAAACCTCTATGAAAGCACCTGAGGAACTCAATAGGCTGTAGCAAAAGGAACCTACTAGAGGACAAAGTGACGGAGATCTGCTCCCACAGGACCAGAGCTGAGGAGTAGCTACAGAAACAAATCACCTCCAAGGGGAGAAGTGGGTAGCAACAAGAGGACAAGGAACAGAAAAAGAGGCAACCCCATGAGGCTGTAAACAATGAGAAACCTGGTGGAGTCCTCTAGTCCCAAGGGCAAGAAACCAAAGTGAGAAGAGATGAATATATAAGAAATACCCCCAAACCACATCATATAGAAATGTAGCAAGACATAGGTCCTGGAGAGCAGATAGAAAGTAAGGCAAAATGAAAAAAGTATACTCCAGAAACAAAGAAACCAAAGTAACTGGAACAAAATGGAAGAAAACTGAGGGCAAGGTGGAAAATAGGCATGTGCAAGTTGCCCCAGTAAAACTGATAGGGTCATGACAGGAAGCCTCTAAATGAAGATAAAACATGAGAATGAACAAAGAAGTTTAGTAAGAGATGAAGGCAAATAGATGGAAAGAAAAAGTAAGGAAAAAGAGATTCATAAACTAAAAAACAGATTCAATGAAGGAGGCTCATGCAATAAAGAACCCTGTGATTCAGCAAAAAAATGTATGGAAATAAAGAAAACAAAAGACACAAACCTGTGGAATCTAACAAATGGAAACATCAATGGTGATGCACAAGAAAGGGCAGGCTCAGCTGAAGCAACAGAAACAGGAGGCAGGAAATCCTGGATCTGAGATCAGAATAGAACCAAACATGTGGTGCACAATGGTAATAATATCACTGACTCTCTGAGTGTCTTCAGTCATTATTACAGCAGTAGAAATGTCAGGAGATGTCAGAAACATTGGAACATGAATCCATAATCCATGAAACTGATTTGTGGTGGTTTGTTTTTGTAAAATACATAGAAGATGAAATTTTTTTAAAATTATTATTATTAGAAGAAAATTGAGCCAGTTATGGCAATGGTGCATAGACCCAATGACTACCTGTAAGAGTACTGGACAAAAACCATATGTTGGATTAAACAATGGGAAGAGACAATGAGACGTGTGTCCCACAAGTTCAAAGTCAATTAAAAAAAATATAACTATTGGTAATGTGGATAAAAGTTCTAAGAGATAAGTTTAAAATTTAGTGTTGTTCTTTCACATAATTAAGGAAAGAAAGACTGCACAATGAGCATCAAGGAAAGGGTAAAACAGTAAGCACAAAAGTTTTGATAAATCTTTTGAAAAAAAAAAGCATAACTGAAGACAAGCAGTGCTGAGGAAAGAAATAAGCCTATGTTCAACTGCTAGTGCCCATGGGGATTACTGAGCATGGAGGATGTGTTGCCCTCTTATTGATGGAAAGTTATAGTCTAATGAAGATATCATAGGCTGCCACAATACACACTGACAAGTGTAGGGGTGGGAGCTTTTTTAAAGGCTTGTATCATGTGCAAAAATTTACATGGCAGTGCATGCAAGATAATAGCTCTTTGTGGTGCAGAGAGATGAGAAGCATTCCTGAATTTTGAATTGTTTTTTATGATCTTTTTTCTAATGATGCAATGTTTTTATTTTAATCTTTTCTCAACAAGGTATTGGCCACTAATGTAGTTCGGACAAAGTAGGAGAGATGAAAACGAAAAGTCTAGTCTTCAGGGAATATCATTGACTAAGATATCAAAAATGTTACATAGCTTACAAATAAAGAAAGAATTAAACTGCATACATTATGTTATATCAGATAAACTCAACAGGTTAAAATTACAGAGTAGAGTATGAAGTTATAGATAATATAAAATATTCAAAAAATAAAATATAATTTCTCAACTGTGCTTGATCTACATGACTGTAGGTGTTGCAGCACAGCTCATATAAAATAATAGATTATATTTAGTGTTAGTTACTTTGATTATCAGGTCAGCAATTAATCACAAGTTACCTATGATAACAAGAACTAAAGAAGAGTAGAGTTTTTTTACAGCCCACATCAACTTATGTGGAAATGGTTAGACATGAAAAATTAATGCAATTGTGTTTTTAATGAAAGACAAAAAAGCAACTTAAAGCAATAATAAATGATTTAAACAACTGTTTCAAAACTTTGGTGATACTGGATTAGTATCTTTCAAGACTCAACAAAATAAATTATGTAAATCTTATGGAAGTATCGTTACTCTTTAACACTGTAGCAAAATCAGAAACAAGGTCACTTTTTCTCAGTTTTTTTTGTATCAATATTTCTGGTTCAGCAAACAATTCTACTTACATACAAACTTAAAGAATTAACAAAAATCAAAGCTCCTACTGAAAAAAAAACCTTTCTATCATGGTGGCAACTTAAAGCTGTTGAAGATGTCACTACTGCATTTTTTTTCTGTTTAACTAACTTAACATTTGCCACAGTAAATTTTGAACACAAAAAAAGAAATATAAGTGTAAAAAAAGTATAAATTTAGTATTGGGAACTAAAATACCAGGGTTCTGGAAAACTCTTGAAACAGACTTTTAGATACAATGTATTACATACCACAAAGAAAATCTGTTATTGGTATCTTTCATGGCATTCACACTTCATCCCAATATAGTATATGTTGGGCATTATTTTGTATAAGATTTTCTGTGTGTGTATATATATATATATATATATATATATATATATA